GCCAATAATACTCTGTTTTTTGGAAGGAGGCCAACGTGAAGAAAGAAAAAGAGAGGAAGGACCCACAGCAGCAGCAGTTTGTAGCTCTCTCAGAGTCAGCTCATTCATTCAGGAAGAATACCTGCATACAGTTTTGCAGTGGAGGACAAATTAGTAGGGTATTTAAAGAAAAATGAGCCTATTTTCAAAAGTAACTGGTGATTCTGTGAGTATAGTCTCATAGAGATTCAGCTCAATTTTTCTGCGTGTCTAGATTTCTCTAAGATACAGCTAGAGTCTGTCACTCAGCATTCTGACTCTCACATAAAACCCAAGTAACTCCAAGAGACAAAGGCAACGCTTGATTATCCAGAATAATAAAGAGTGAGAAAATCCAAAAACAGAAATTATGCAGATAATGCAAAACATTTTCCTGGTTTCACCAGGGACAAAGTTGATTTTTTCTTCATTGCGGCTGATAGGATGCAATGTCTTGGCTTTCAGAGAAAATGGTATTTATAACACATCACTGTTTTAGTTCCTGAGCAGTGCTGCACAGAGCCAATAAGATTTCAGTTTCCCAGCTTCTCAAACTGTCCTGACAGGGAGGGGCGCAGAAGGAGCACAGGGAGCTGGGAGAAAGCAGCAGGACAGCTGACCTAAAATGACCAGAGGGATATAGATACATAGACATCATGTGGAAGAAAAACTTGAAAAGCAGTGGGATGTTTGCCCTGAGCACAGAAACTGTTTGGGGGCTGTTTTGGGTCAGTGGATAGTGAGCAACTGCTTGTGCATTACTTAGTTTGTGTATATTATTATAATTACTACCATTTTCATTTTTCTCTTCCTTTTCTATCTTTCTTTTCTAGAGAATTTTCATCTCAACCCAGAAGTTCAATTTCATCTTTTCTTTTCACTTCTCTCCATCATAATGCTGTGATGGGACATGGGGTGAAAGAATAACTATGTGGTGCTTAGCTACCTGCAAGATTAAACCACAACAAACCTCCATTAATTGAGTTGTAAGAACAATATGTATTCATTATTATAATAGACTCCAGGAGACTATTCTGTCATTTATTCTCACATATCATATGGACTATAGAACATGAGACTTCTTTAGATTCAAGCAGTTGAATTTGAGTCCTTCCCCAATTCATATTTAATGCATATTAAATACAGAATATTTTTTTTCACAATTTCAAGACCAAATACGTATTCCAAACTTAAAAAGTTCCTTGTTATTCTGAGTGGTGTGCCAGCATCTTACTGCACAACTGGGTAAATGTTTTGCCGGAAATGGATTCCAGTGTTTTTCCTACAAAAAGGCAAAACAAAATCAACATGCAAGCTGTTGGCAAAATGAAAGGGAATACATACTTTTGACACGATCTGGGCTGACTTCTTATTATGTTCACTATGCACTGTTTCAACATATGACTTATTTCATAATCACAGAGGAACATGTTTAGCTAATGGCACATTGCATTTCATTTCCGAGTTATGACTACTGTCTGCATACACTTTTTTATAAGTGATCTGTGGGTAGCAGGTGGAAAGTCTGAAGTTCAGACTGTCTGTGCTATAGTGTCCCATCACAGCATAAAGATTATGAGAAAGCAGTATTATAAAATGGGAGTTTGATCTTTGATTTCTCCTGTCACTAACTTTCAATTTCAGCCCTTTTGGTGACCACCTCAAGCTTCCTCCTGGAGAATTTCACCCACACTATTTCTCCTGGATGAGGAACAATTACTTGTATGCAGTTCCTTCCTTCATTCTCATCTAGGGATGGAAAAGAAGCAACATATTCTAAGGAACTGACCTGTGTAGAAACCCTTATAACTCCTCAATTTGGAAAGAGAATATGAGGAAAAATCTAAGGGAAAAGTAAGCATTTGTTGGAAACCAGATGAGGTTTCCATTTTTAAGAAACCACATGAAGTTTAACAAAAGCGAGTGTAGAGTCTTGCACCTGGGAGGGAGTAACTGCACGAACAGGCTGGGACATGACCTGCTGGAGAGGAGCTCTGTGGAGAAGAACCTTGGTGTCCTGGTGGACAGCAGGTTGTCCATGAGCCAGCAGTGTGCCCTGGTGGCCCAGAATGCCAATGGGATCCTGGGATGCATTAAGAGGAGTGTGGCTAGCAGGTCAAGGGACTTGATCCTCCCCTTCTACTCAGCCCTGGTCAGGTCTCACCTGGAACACAGTGCTGGGATCCCCTGTTAAAAAAAGACAGGGATCTGGAAAGAGTCCAGTGGAGGGCCACAAAGATGATATAAAGCATGGAGCATCTTCTCTATGAGGAAAGCCTGAATGACCTGGATCTGTTCAGTCTTGAGACAGACTGAGAGGGGATCTTATTAATGTTTTTAAGTGTGGGAGTCAAAGGGACGGGGCCAACCTCTTTTCAGCAGACTGTGGGAACAGGACAAGGGAAAATGGCCATAAACTTGAGCATAGGAAGTTCAGCATCAATATGCAAAAGAAGTTCTTCATGGTAAGGGTGACAGAGCACTGGAACAGGCTGCCCAGTGGGGTTGTGGATTCTCCTTCTCTGGAGATATTCAAGACCTGCCCGGGTGCCTACCTGTGCAGCCTGCTGTACAGAGCCTGCTTTGGCAAGGGGATTGGAATTGATCTCTGGAGGTCTCTTCCAACCCCTACAATTCTGTGATTCTGTAAATATCAGTTAAAGTATAATGAAGTTACTGTAGGATACTAGTATTAAGAAATAGAATTAGCTTTTTCTCCCTTCCAGATCTGCATGGTGTTTGGAGAAAACAATAGATTTTTTATCCATCAGGGCACTTTGTTATGTTGCTATTGCATTGATTCCATTACTTTACAGCTGGTGTAGTCGAAAAGTTACTCTATTAGATCACTGGATGGAACAAATATGATGACTACTCTGAAAGTAATGCCCCCTATTTTATTATGTTGGCCCACAACATCAAAGGTGGATGTTGGTGGGATGTCAGTAGAGGCTAAACCTTCCCACCAATATTCTGTTACATTCTGTTGCTGTGTGACAGGTGGCAGCAGAGGGGCAGTCTGACAGAATGGCATCTGACAGGGAAGTGCGTATGAGGCAAAGGTGTGTCACTGAATTCCTCTAAGCAGAAAAGATGGTACCCGCTGACATTCATTGTCACTTGATGAATATTTCTGAATATCAAACAGTAGATGTGAGCCCAGTGAGGTGATGAGTGGTGAGCATCAGCAGTGCTGACAGCAATAGTGCTAGTTTAGATTTTTATGAGCATGGCATGTTGGCTTTTGTTGCTGGTGAAAATGTATAGCTAGTAATGGTGGCTGTGTTGAAAAATAGTGTTTCGTAGCTAAGAATTTGTTCTGATCTATCAAATAGTGCTATTGTTCTCTTCATAGCTGTTGAAATTTCCATGGAAATAAATAGGAGGCATTACTTTTGGAGCAATCTACATAGAACAGGAAATGTCAATTTGCTGTTCCAGTGTATTAGTGAATAGTAATTATGCCAAAGAGTTATGAATTTTTTATTTATTGTTAGCTATTTTCTTCTCAGCTTTTCTACTTAGAATATATACATTTACACTCTGATTAGCAAACTTATATGTCTGCAGTCAGATTGTGAAAGTAAAATAAAATAATAAAATAGTAAAATAAAATACAATACATTGAGAAGTAATTAGCATCAGAATACAGTGTACACTGCTATGTATTAAACATTAAAATGTACCTTCTCATTAAAATTATTTTCATGTTTATAAATATTGTATTTTCTTTGAGTATGGGAGGGTGTCACTTACTAAAATAATAATGCAGGACTTTCCAAAATACCTTGCTACATTACAGTCACTGTCTCATTTTACTTATTTTGCAAAATTATTTTGAATAAATAAACTCTACCTGGACAAACTGCTGTAATAGTTGAAAAAGTTTTCTGATGTTAACAGATTAACAAAGCTGAGCTCTCTGTTTTGAGATGGATTTCTGGATATATCATATTAATAATGTACTCTGCTAACATAATATGTGTCCCCACCTATAGAATCACCAGTGAATGCCTAATGCATTTTACTTACAGAAGCTACCATTGCCAGAATAGCCAACACATTGCGAAAGCTGCTATGCCACCCAGAATACATTAACTAATATATGAAAAGTAACTGTGGATTCACTCTGATTAGAAATTCTACTTTCCCATTTACATTGAGGAACATCAGAATATCCTTTGGAGTGATTTTCAAACACATTTGCTGTCTCTTGCCACTGTCACAGTATCACTGTCACGGTGGCAAACTAGGGAACATAATGAAGGTTCTTTCTCTTAGTATGGAATTAAATGTTCTTAATATAAGTGAGTAAAATATATATATACAAGAAAAACATTATTGATAAAATAAGAAAACATTTCTAGATGGTCAGTGAGTAAGGAATGTTTATCTTTCACCCTTCTTTTTCCTTTAAGGAGAATTTACATTTCTGGAGGTGGCACATTTTGTTTGGGTACATGAAAGAACAGGTATAATCTGACAAAGAAGGCATCACTGAGAAGTGCACACACATTCTCTTGTTACATATTTCACTGAATGTATTTCATTGCTCAGATTAGGAATTTACTGACCTTTCTTTTAGAGCACTCGTGTCAAAATTCTGCTCTTGTATATGGTCTATAATGTTTTGCTAAACATACAAATTGAAAAAGAAAAATCACAAAAATACCAGTATCTCTCCAGTAGTGTTTTCATGAAGGCTTAAGAATAGTCTTTATTACTCCTGCTGAATAGCTGAATCCTACTGCAAAGGTTAGTTTGCAATATGAAGTAAGTAGAAAATTCTTGTAGTACAGGTTCTTTATAGCAAGATGTGCTGCCATGCATGCCCTAGGGCACAGGAAAATAGAGAGGCTGCCTGTGTAAGTAGTACCTCCTAATTCTATTTCATTCCTAACTCTCTGAGGAACAAAAGGGCAAATGGAACAAACTGGGGAAAAACAAATGGCTTATATAATAGAGTAGAAATATGTACTCACATAGGTCCCAGTGTGAATCATTATTTGTGCTGCTTTTATATAGAGTGAAAGAATTTTTATATTATGTTTCATTCTATACACCTGAAACATAGAAAGAATTTTTAAATTTTTTAAAATTTTAGAGAAAGATTCGAGATAGAAAAAAACACTGCTTTATACTATTGATTTAGCCTTACTTGATCCCACAGTTATCACGCTTGCTTTTGTTGTGTGAGCTCCCCTCCAAGAAAAGAACAGTGGTAATCAATAATAGCTGATTTATTTATTTTTAATTTTTACCTGAGTGATTGGTTAAGCTGCACATACTTTGGTTATTTGATGTTGCTTATTCTGGTGACAAAGTGTAAAGTAAAGGACTTTAGGCCGGGAGAGTCTGGTATTCTTTCATTTTCAGCAACATCATGTCAAGCCATGTTTTCTGGTTGGTTTCTCAATTAGTGAGAAAAGTTGAGCCCTCATTAACTGAAGATATTAAAGTTTATGGTAGGGCTATCATAGAAAATTCAGTTTTAATAGCTACATGATACTGGCAAATATCAGTAGTCTGCCTCAGGGACTGTGGTTAGATGGACACTCTTAACACCAAAAAGGGCTTCAGCTTGACAGCAGGAATATAGCTGCTCAAAAATAAATGATTGTTATAGACCATTAGTGAAAATAACCTAGTTTTATTTTACTAGCTGTGTAAATATTTACTTTGACAACCCACTTTATCGAACTACGAGGATATAGTCTTGTGTATGATAAGACTGAAGGTCAACGCTTGTTTAATAAACTCTAAATAAAGAATTATGTGATACACTGTACACATTTCACATCCAGTGATGTATTAATGCATCATTGCACTCTGTATAATCAGCTCAAACGACTTCCTTTAAGGATACAGGAATTGTTTCATTTGCATCACTTTTTTTTTAAACAATCTGAATGTGCTGTTGGTCAAATGCCAGCAATTCAGCAAACATTTAAGGTGAATATCATATTATGCTCCTTGAATTTTGGATTTTCCATGACTTAACTGAGAGATAAAAAAGTCCAATTTATGTTGCAACAAAGTTTTAAAATAATTACCTGTTGATATTACAGTCAAATCTAGTGCCAGAACTGTCAAAGTCTCGTACTTGTAAAGCTGATGTAGTGTCAGTTTTTAAAAAAGCATAATTTTCACTATAAATGTTTTGTTATACTTTTCTGCTTCCTGCTTAATAACACTGAATGTGGACCATGTTCTTAGAGAGTGCAAAATGCATAGATATATAGATACAAATATGTAAAAGCCAGAAAACAAAACAAAACAAAAAAGAACAACAAAACTTGGATAGTTTGAATTTCAATAGAAAATATGACTTGTTTGCTTTGCATTATAAGCCATAGACAGGAATATTGTTCTAAATACAATTTCTTTCAGTATTGGGCTGTACTGTTGGTTTGCTAAATATTAGTTGAATTTCTGCTACTATAAAAGCAGTTATGAAGATATTATAATGGCCACTTAGGCAGTCTAGGATAATCACTGGCTGAATCCAGACATATGGCTCCTCTTTAGACACATGGATTTAGAAAACCTTGCTGGAGCTTTTTATTTTTTGCTGTGCCCAGGTCCTTGACTATCCTTGTAATCTCATCTCTCAGTTTAAGTAATGTGTTGGATTTATTTACTTAATTTTCCATTTGTTTAAATCTTTCTTCCTTTTTTTCTTTCATAAGTAACTGTTTCAAATGATGAATCATGAATTTTAATAAGTCAGCACAGGAAAAGAATTTCCCACTTTTACTGTGAATTGATAGGGAAAATAATTTCATAAGGGAAGTCACAATAGTAATGTTCATGGGGTACGAAAAAGTAATTATTCTTTAAGTATATTTTCTTTTTCTTTCAAAAACAGAGCCTATAAACCCAATTACTCTCCCATAATTAAATGACTACTTAAGTGGTCTAAGCTTGCAGAAAGACTAGTAGGTGGAAAACAAATTCAGAAAACAGAAATAATGGCTCTAGCCTCACACAATGGCTGCTTCCTGGAACACCCTTATTCTCTTTGACTGAAATTCAGGTTTGTTGACAATGACACACACAAGCTAGTTGGATGCTAGGCAGTGCTAGATACTGAGGTTAAATAGCTGTAGTGTTACTGGAAGCTTTTGTTGGATAGTTCATGGCTTTTGTTGCCAAACTCTGAGCAGTTCAAAGCTCCTCGACTGACAAGTTTATTTATACATGTAAATGCTAATTTGAAATGATTCAGTTGCATTTAATTTCCGAGTTTAAATTACAGTTTAAACCAGCAGGCAGCTAAGCAGCACACCATTTGTTCATTCCTCCGTTTGGGATGGAGAAGAAAAGAGGAGAAAGACAAAACTTATCAGTTAAGATAAAGACAGCTTAATAAGATAGAAAAGGATGAGAACACCATAATAAATAATATTAGCAATAAAAATAAATATTAAAATAACAAGTGATGCTTGTTGATCACCACCCACCACAGATGCACAGCCAATCCCTGAACAATGGCAGCTCTCCCAGCAGCATTCAAATTTCACTGTTCACTATGACATCATATGGAATGGGACATCCCTTTGGCTACTTTGGATCCAGGTTTTGCACCTACCAGCTCCTTGAGCACCACCAGCCTTCTCTCTAGCAGGACAGTATGAGAAGTTGAAATGTCCTTGACTTAGTGTAAGACTTGCTCTGTAACAACTAAAACCATTAGTGTGTTATCAACATTTTTCTCCCAATTAAGCACAATTAAGTTCAAAATAAGAACACACTACATCCTAAATCTTGGATACCATCAACATCAACTTCTTGAAGCTTATGAAGTGGAGTCTGCAGCAGGACAAAATTTGATTACAGAGCTCATTCAGCATTCAGCAAAGCACAAGGTAGGGAATATTTTCTTTATTTGTTTAAAAATGTACTTGGAGAGCAACTTTTAATAATTTCTCATGAGCCATTTTGATTTGCAAAAAAATTGGGTGATGATTGAGTTATGCAAAGATTTTACCAGATTTAAGATGCTGTCAGTTAAATCTAAGTTTATATTTGGTATTTTTTGTAGCATTGCTCTCCTCTAAATGAGAAAGTAATGTGTAGGGATCTTAAAATTACTGAGAAATAATATTTTTCAAGGTTCTTGTAGTTTCTATGACTTGTCTTGTAGAGCTCCATACAACAGTCTTCCACCTCCAACACTTTCCCATAGTACAACAGGGCCCATTGTTAAACAGGGAATGCCACTTTTCTTTTTTGGTAGTCTATTTTAGTTAGGCCTCCTGAGCATGCAATGCCTTCTCTGCTGGCAATATTCTGAAAGCTCTGCCCTCTACCCAGATCATGATTACTTCCAAGATTTGGATATGACTGATGTTTCTTATTTGAGCCCACTGTGTTATCAGTGTAACCCACTTACACCATGTAGCACTGATTGCATGATGAGTAGAGGGGGCCCTCTCTTGAAAATCCAGCCCTGCACAAGCAGTTGGGGTGCCAAGAGAGGCTGCGCTTCAGTACCAACCACTTCTGGAGGGGCTTGAATCCATTCATTTGCTGCCAGTATCTCTTTTTCAGCTGGAGAGTAGCAGGCCTTGGATCCTCTGTATCACCAACCTCAACTTCAAGTCTTCCCTGAGGCTTTCTGCCGTGGGCTCCAGATGGGGACATTCTCCCCAGCTGCAATGTAGAGCACTTTTTTAATGTATTGTCCCACTCAGACTGCTGCAAGTGCTACTACTGAACTGTCTTCTTTCAATTTGTTTAAAGGCCTTGTTGCTCAGGGCCCCATCGGAAGACTGTCTTTTGGGTCACTTGTTAGAGAGGACATACAACCAGGCTGAAATCTAGAATATATCTCCAAAAACCACAAAATCTAGGAAAGCTTGTGCTTCTTTCTTGCTAATGGATGGAAACACAGCAGTTACTTTGTTGATCACATTCCTAGGAATCTAATAGCACCTTTCTTGCCATTTTACTCTTAAAATCTGAATTTCCTGTTGCAGATTCCTTGACTTTTATAGGAAAACCAGCTTTCAAAGGGATTTGGACTATTTTCTTTCCTTTCTCAAAAGCTTGCTCTGCTATATTCACAGTATCATAGAATCATAGAATGGTTTGGGTTGGAAAGGACCTTTAAGATCATCTAGTTATAACCTCCCTGCTATAGACAGGGATGCCTCTCAAAGGCATTCAGCCTGCCCTTGAATGCCTCCATAGAGGGGATATCTACAGCCTCTCTGGGCAACCTGTTCCAGTGTCTCACCACCCTTGCAGCAAATAATTTCTTCCTAATATCCAATCTGAATCTACCCTCTTCCAATTTAAAGCCATTTCCCTAGAGGCCCCCTTCGGGTACTGGAAGACCACTATCAGGTCTCCTCAGAGCTTTCTCTTCTCCAGGCTGAAGATCCCCAGCCTGTACCCATAGGAAAGGTGCTCTAGCCCTCTGACAATCTTTGTCTGAACCATCTTCAGCAGCTCAATTCCTTTTTGTGTTGAGGGCTCCAGAACTGAATGCAGGTGGGGTCTCATGCGAGCAAAGCAGAGAGGCAGAATCACCTTCCTTGACCTTCTGATCATACTTCTCTTGATGCTACACAGGATACAGCTGGCCTTCTGGACTGCAAGTCCATTGATGGCTCATCCTGAGTTTTTCATCAACCTGCAGTCTCAAATGCTTATCCACAAGGCTGCTCTCAAGTTATTCTCCAACAAACAGGTATTTGTGCTTGAGATTGTCCTGACCCAGATGCAGGAGCTTGTACTTGATATTTTTCAACTTGATGAGATTGGCATGGGCCCACGTCTCAAGCATGTGCAGGTCCCTATTGTAGGGTAATAGGTGGGGTTGAGGGTGGTACAAGGGGAGTGGGGATTGGTTCAAGGGTTTTCCTGGGAGGGTTTGTGAGTTTCCTGGGCGGTCGCGTGTCACGGTATATAAGTGCTTGTTACGCAGCAGTAAATTGGCTTTCGGCATAGGAACGCTGGTCATTCGGTCCATCCGACTGTCCCCTCACTGGAATCGATGTTGCGCAGCAACATCTGGTGACCCCTACGTGATCTGTTGGGCGCTAAGCATCAGGCGTGGGATGAGCGCCGGCCGCATAGGCGGTGGCCGTGTGAGGCGGCGTGGGCGCATGAGTGAGGTGCGCGGGGGGCCCGTGTATCGCATATTGTCAGGCACAGTGTTGTCTGTGTGAGTGCAGTGTGCGAGACCTCGGCTGACAATGGGGCTCGGCATGGACAAGGTGGTGAGTATGCTTAAATCCTTGGCCAAGGAAATAGGGATAACACTACATAAGAAGGAGTGTCAGCCGCTCTTAAAATGGATATTGTGGTGGCAGCTTGCTTTGACATCTTTGCAGAGTTTGCAGGAGGCGGTATTAGAGGTGGTGGGAAAGGAACTTTGGGAGAGTGCCTGCATAGGGAACAAGGAGGCATTGTCTCTGCTTCCTGCGTATGGGGCTTTAAAAGGCATGTTAGAGAAACTTAGTGGTGAGGTTCAATTGTGGGCTACCGTGTGTAGGTTGCTCTGTCAGAAGAAGCCCGTTTCTTCTTCAGAAACTGTGGGAGCGACAGGGGAGGAACTCTACAGGGGTAACAGGTTGGAGGAATCTCGAGAAAGGGGGAACTCAGGGGAAAGGTCTAACCGAAGGGAGGAAGCCATCGATGAGGGTCCCAGAGGGGAATCAGAATGTTCGGAGGGGGAGATAGGAGAAGGAAAGGAGATGGAGGAGGAAGCAGACGGCACGTTGTGGTCTCGGGAGGGTCGCCACTATGTCTGTTTTCCTGATGCTAGAGTGGGAGACGGTCCCCTTAACAGGGGTACCCCCGCCTTTGTGGCCCCTCCACCATACCATCAGAATGTGGTTAAAGGAAAAGGAGAGGAAGTGAGCTCCTCTGAGTCAGGAGAGGAGTTGTTCAAACTCAGGACGCGTCTCGTGGAACGGTCGTCTGTGAGTGAGGGGGGACCAGGCAGGGATAGTTTGAAATTGAAAGGGGCTTCTCCCCTCAAATCTTCTTCAGAAAAGGGGGGGCAGCGAACTGCCATGTTGGTGTATATTGTTTGCTAGAACATTTTTGCAGATTGTTATCGTAGGGAACAATCACCCAGCCAAGGCACAAGATGTTGTGCTTCGCGAGTGCTTGTGGTCTGAGGCTCTTCCTGCAGTCAAAACAGCCTTAGCCACACTTCCTTCCACCAGCGTGATGGTGCTCCCAATGGGGAATTTGTCATACCACGGGATCCCTGGGAACAATCAGGGTCAAGCTATCATTGAACGGGTGCATCTCATGCCTAAGCGGTGGCTTAACGCACTTAGAGAGGGGGGAGGGCTGAAGCCGCTTGAGCTATGTCCTTTGGCAATATAAAGTTTGAATTACCTTGAGGGTCGAGCCAAGGATTGCTTGGGTGAATGCGCTCCTATAGGGGAGGTTTGCATTCGTGAAGAGGGTACTGGCCCATGGTCAGTTAAGCAGTACCCACTTGTGGTCCTTGAGCAAGGGTATGCTTCTGTTCAGACCTGTTCTGGCAGCTTTGGCTGCCGGCTAGATAGGTCCGTCTGGTGCCTGCGACGAAGGCACCAGATCTGTGAATTATGTAAATATTATTGCAGTAATTCATCTCTTTTCGGCTTTACAGTGGATTGCTGCAACATGATCCACTAGATAGCTTTCCACCCAGTTCCAGGGTGTCTTTTACCATCTCTTGCAACAGTCGTTTTAGCTTGGAAAAAGCCACACTGATGTCAGCACTGTCTTCTGAACAAACAGTCCTGCAATCTGGTGGAAAGGGGGCTGAACATGGCATTGAAGTTACTGCAGCTAAGGGAAAAGAACCCTAGATGCAGATTTGCGCAGTTCGACTGTGTGTTGTCTCGTTGAGGGAGAAAAGTACCCCAGATGCAAGAATTGCGTGCTTTGGCTGCATGCCGGGTCCTTTCACGGGGGTGTTGCTCAGGCCCTGCCCTTTTGTCTGCGTGGGTTAGGGGTTCATGTGGGGCCCACGCCTAGTGGGCATCCCTGGGAGGGGTGACAGGTATATGACATGGATGATTCCCATTCGTCTGCTGGGGACCTGGTGGATAGTCTGCACCAACAGCAAGGCGTGGAAGACTGTCCCGGCTAACACAACGCTCGGCCTATGCACTTTTGTGGTACTGCTTTGGCCCGCAGCACATTCCCATAGACATGGGGGTAGGGAAAGGAGAGTCTTGACAACCAATTATATCTTCGAGTCTTGCCACAAGGAACTATACCTGCCAAATCTATCCCTCAGGATATCCCTCTTTGCTAGCCCTGTACTCACAGCTTGGACAACGACCAACGTGCAGAAACTTGCATGCATTGTTGCAAAAAATGCGAATCGTTCGGCTGCTGCAATTGATTCCCTAGCCCAAGCGCTTCATGCTTTAAAGGTTGCTCATGAAGAAGCCATTGACTTTGCGCTTATGGCGTTAGGATCAGGATGTTCTTGGGCGGAGCCAGAAGAAATCGCACATTATTGTTGTATTCGTAGCAACAGTTCTGTACAAAACCTGCTACCACGGGCACAGCAGATGGGTCAAGAGTTGAGGGACACCTCGAAGAAGATTTCCATCATGGAAAATTGGTGGTCCTGGGACTGGTCCTGGCTGGGAGGTGTACTGGGGACGGTTCTTACGTGGATTGTGATTATTTTGCTGATTGTCTCCTTCGCTCCAACGTTACTCCAAATGCTAAACGGCCTGATCAGATGGCATCTGATCAGAGCTCACTTCTTGCTACTGCCGCATCAAGAAATGTAATCATTTGCTTATTGCTTCGGGAATGGCGAAACCGGATTTAAGTGGGGTGCTATTACAGGGTCGTATAAACTGTAATAGAGAGGGGGGAGATGTAGGGTAATAGGTGGGGTTGAGGGTGGTACAAGGGGAGTGGGGATTGGTTCAAGGGTTTTCCTGGGAGGGTTCGTTGGTTTTCTGGGCGGTCGTGTGTCACGGTATATAAGTGCTTGTTACGCAGCAATAAATTGGCTTTCAGCATAGGAACACTGGTCGTTAGTCCGTCTGACTGTCCCTTCACCAGAGGTGGATGTTGCGCAGCAACACCTATGAATGAGACTGCTTCCCCATAGCATGTCAACTGCATCACTCAGCTTGGTGTAATCTGCCAACTTGCTGAGCATGCACTCAATCCCACTGTGTATGTTGCCAGCAAAGATGTTAAATAACACCAGCCCCAGCTGGTTCCTCATCACCTGTCTCCACTTAGATGTTAAGCTGCTGACCGCAACTCTCCAATTGTGACCATGCAGCCAATTCCTTATCCAGAGAATGGTCCATCCATCAAATCAATGTTTCTCCAATTTGGCTACGAGGATGTCATGTGGGACAGTGTCAGAAACTTCAGACAAGTCTATACAAATGACTTCAGATGCTCTTCTTTTATCCTCTGATGATGTAAATCCACCATAAAAGGCTACCAAGTTTGTCAGACATGACCTTCTCCTGCTGAATCCATGTTGGTTACCATCAATCACCTTGTTTTTCTTTCCCATGTGCCTCAGTGTGGCCTTCCAGAGAATCTGCTCCATGGTCTTCATAGGCACAGAGATGAGATTTACTGGCCTGTAGTTTCCTGGATCTTCTTTTTTTTCCCTTCCTGAAAAAGGGGTCTATGTTTTCCCTTTTTCAATCAGTGGGAATTTCACCAGGCTGCCATGACCTTTCAAATAGGATGGATAGTGTCTTGGCAACTTCGTCTTCCAGTTCCCTCCAAACCCAGGGATGTATCTCACTGTGTTCCAAGCACCTTCAGGTTCTTTAGATGGTCTCAAACCTGATCTTCATTTACAGCAGATAGATCTACCTTCTCCCAGTTCTTAACTTTGCTTTCTGCAACATGGGTGGCATGGCTAGATTCCTTGCTGGAGAAGACTGAGGCAAAGACGCCACTGAGTACCTCAGCCTTCTCTGTATCCCCTGTGACCAGGTATCCAGTTTCCTTCTAGACCTAGACCTTCTTTTTATCACTGATATACCTGTAGAATTTCTTCTCGTTCCCTTTTATGTCCCTGGCTAGATTTAATTCTGTCTGGGTTTTAGCTTTCCTAACCTGATTGCTGGCTGCTCTGACAACTTCTTTGTAGTCCTTCCAGTAATCTGTTCCTGCTTTCACTAGCTGTGGATGTCCCTGTTCACTGCAGGGGAGTTGGACTAGACGAGCTTTAAATGTCCCTTCCAACTCTAAGGATTCTAAGAGACAGCTTTTCACATTCTATTCCTTTCCTGATTTAGATACCTGCCTCTTCTCCACCTATATGGAAAAGCAGTAGGGGGTTGTGATCTGTTAGCTGTACCAGGCTAGGCAGTTTCTGGATGAGATCTCACACCTGGGTCTCAGGAAGACAGCAGAATTCCTAAGAAGGTCTGCTTGGCATATTGGACTTTCACTTCCCTTTAGGAAGGAATCAACTACAACTGTCTCTTCTTCAATGATGTAGTCTTGATGCTGGGGAAATGCTTTTCCTGGTTTCATTAATGATAAACCAAGACAAGTACCCACAGTTAATAAATAAGAAAGGAGTTAAGAAAAACATCTTGAGATATTCTGACTAAATAATCATTGTGATGAGTAACTATTATTATAATTCTTATAACAAATCTGATTTAACATGTTCTGGTCATACCTATCATTATTGTTATCCTTTGTGCTCCTCATTGGGTGCCAAAAGAATATTTTGGTTTAACCTGACAGACGAGCTCAGCACCATATAGCTTTTCAATTATTCCTTCCTTTGTGATGGAGAATAGGAAATGCCACTCTACAGTGTTTTGTTACTGAGAATTGCTTTAGTATTAATGTGTTACTGAGAATTGCTTATAGTGTTCATGACTGCTAAATAAGTAAAAGTATAGTTAAAAGTGGTAGCATTATTTTAAGACAAGTTTCTGGCAGCCTCATGAGGTTTAAGAGTAAGACACCTGAAAGACAGTAGCAACATAAAAACTTCTACCAAGATAGATGAAAGTTTATTTCTCTTCTGTCTTTCAAGAGATGACAAGATAGAGTACATGAAAAAAAAAAAAGAACAAATAAAACTTTTCTGCAAGAATTCCATAATCACTTATAGTTAACCCAAGAGTTGTTCATGGGAGAACAATTGAACGAATGTAGTAGATGCTGAATACTTTGTGATGTTGCATGAAGGGAGAGCCTCTTTAGTCTATTATCTTCTGCCTCTGTAGATATTCTCTGGCCTTGAGGTCTCTAGAATCTATGCATACCCTTAGCTTTTTTTGTCTTTCTTTTTTTTTTTCTTTCCTTTTTTTTTGTGTGCTTATTTCTGTGGATCACAGGCTGTTTACTATAGTACCGATGTAGTTTGAAGAGATGCAGGGCTTGAGATGTTTTATCTCTTGTCAGAGCTCGCTTCAATTAAATTAATGGATCCATTCAACTCCTCTTTCCTCTTTCAGCTGCATCACTGACAAACACATTAAAAAGATCTTAAGTCTCAAGATGGTACATCATGGCATTAGCCAGGGCACTCATTTCCCTCCGTCTTCTTTTCCTGTAAATCAAATAATTAATGAGATCTCTCCCTCAATAGAGCACTTCATCAATATTTTGTAGCAATAGAAAAAAAAGATGCGCTTTTTGCTCTTGGAGGAGCTTTTATCTCCATCTGTGTTGGATCTAGTGGGCAAATGTTGTAATTTGAAAATGGCAAAATATTTACTATTTTTTTCAGTTTGCTCTCACTTTCATAAAAAAAAATATTCTAAAGGCTTAGGTACTGGTCACAACATAAGTAAAGTGTTGTGCCTTCTTCTGTTACAAAGATAGGGGCTATTTAAAGTTTAGACTTGGAATAAAAAATAATTGAAATTCATTTCTTTGTAGAATATGTAATTGCAAAGGATTATACAGACAAATATCACAATTTAATGTGCAAGGTTTCAATTAACAGAAAATAATTATACGGCAGATAATGCTAGCTATTCTGTTTTCCCTGCAAAATATCATTTACCTTGGCACTGTTAACTCCTTCATGCTAAAAGGAATTGAAAAATATATATATATATTTAAAATATTTTCTAATTCAAGATTTTTACATGTAGAACATAACAAACAAAATATTGTAACACAAAGCAGTTGTAGAAAATTTTAATAATTTCACTCAAGTTAAATAGAAGGCTTTCAGCAGATACAGGTGTTAGCTCTCATTTCTCTCATTCTAGTCTCAATCATTTTGTTCTCTTCTTAAAGGCAGGTTAATTAAAAAAAACCCAACAAAACAGTCTTTATGTTTCTTCTGTTGAAGAGACATTGATTATTTAGTTGAGTACCAGACATCTTGCTAAGAATCATGCACAGATTTCTAATTGCTTCTTGCTTTAGGTTATGAAAAATGAATATAGTAATTTTAATTTAATGAGTTGGCTGCAAGCTGCATTTGGGTGAATAGGGATTACAATGAGAGGGGAAGTGTCAAATTTAGGCTGAGTTGCTAAAATATAATAATAATTTTAACCAAAATTAAAGTTTAATTACATTATAATTAGAACAATGTATTTTAATGAGAAGTATACAGATGCAGTAATGGATTTCAAATGAGTTCTATTAAATATCATTACACTGCCGTGACAAAAATAATGCATTCTGTCAGGATAGGCATAACTGAAATGTCTACAATTGAAAATTCACGTAAATGCAAATAAAGCCCATCTGCATGGGATTCTTCACAGGAACAGAGATCTTACAGGGGTGGTGCCCTGCTAGACCTGGTCTTTGCTAACAGAGGACTGTGGTAAAGGTGAAGGTTGGGGACCAACCTCCATGGGCAGAGCGACCATGGAGTTGTAGAATTCTCTATTCTTGGAGATGTCAAAAGAGTGACCAGCAAAACTTCTTTGTTGAACTTCTGGAGGGCAGACTTTGATCTGTTCCGGGTGCTAGTAGCACAGGTCCCTTGGGAGTCACTTCTCAAGGGTAAAGGGGTCCAGAAAGCCTGGACGCTCCTCAAGACAGAAATCTTAAAGGCACAAGAACAAGCTGTCCCTGAGTGCCATAAGGCGAGCCGTAGGGGAAGACAACCAGTATGGATGAGCTGGGAACTACTGTTGAGACTCCGGGAGAAAATGAGAGTCTGGAAGAAGGGGCAGGCTAGTAGGGGAGATCACAAGGAAGTTGCTAAGGTATGCAGGGAGGAAGTTAGGAAGACAAAAGCCCAACTCGATCTCAGATTGGATTACTGCAGTAAAAGACAATAAAAAATCCTTTTATAAATATATCAACGGCAAAAGAAGAACCAAGCAAAATTTTCATCCTATACTTGATGCAGCAGGGAATGTGGCCACTGAGGACAAGGAGAAGGCTGAGGTCCTCAATGCCTTCTTTACATCTGCCTTTAATAGCCAGACCAATTATCCTCTGGGCATTTTATTCCCTGATCTGGAAGTCTGGGATGCTCAGAATATACCCTCAGCAATTCAGGTGGAGACAGTCAGAGAGCTCCTCCTCCATCTGGACTGTCACAAGTCCATGGGACTGGATGGTCTACACCCTCAGGTGCTGAGGGAGCTGGCGGGGGTGATTGCTGAGCCGCTCATGGCCATCTATCAGCACACCTGGTTAACTGGAGAGGTCCCAGAGGATTGGAGGCTTGCTGATGTGACTCCCATCTTCAAGAAGGGCCATAAGGAGGATCCGGGGAACTATAGGCCTGTCAGCCTGACCTCGGTACTGGGGAAAGTAATGGAGCAAAACATCTTGGGTGAGATTGCATGGCATTTGCATGGTGTCCAGGGGATCAGGCCCAGCCAGCACGGGTTCATGAAAGGCAGGTTGTGCTTGACCAACCTCATCTCCTTCTACAACGGAGTGACCATACTGGTAGATGAAGGAAGGGCTATTGATGTAGACTACCTAGACTTCAGCAAAGCCTTTGACACAGTCAAGCTGCTTTTGGGGAAACTGACTGCCCATGGTCTGGACAGGTATACACTTCTTTGGGTAAGAAACTGTCCAGAGGGCCATGCCCAATGGGTGGTGGTTAATGGAGTTAAGTCCAGCTGGTGACCCATTATGAGTGGTGTCCCCCAGGGGTCGGTACTGGGAGCCCATCTTGTTTAATATCTTTATTGATGACCTAGATGAGAGGATTGAGTGTACCCTCAGTAAGTTTGCAGACGACACCAAGTTGGGAAGTATTGTCTATCTGCCTGAGAGTGGGGAGGCACTTCAGAGGGATCTAGATAAGCTGGATCATTGGGCTGAGGTGAATGGGATGAGGTTCAACAAGGCCAAGTGTCAGGTCCTGCACTTTGGCCACAACAACCCCATGCAATGTTATAGGATTGGAGACGAGTGGCTAGATGATTGTGAAGAGGAAAGGGACCTGGGGGTGTTGGCTGATGCTCAGATGAACATGAGCCGACAGTGTGCCCAGGTGGCCCAAGAAGGCCAATGGCATCCTGGCCTGCATTAGAAATAGTGTGGCCAGCAGGAGCAGGGAGGTGATCATCCCCCTGTACTCAGCTCTGGTGAGGCCGCACCTCGAGTATTGTGTTCAGTTTTGGGCCCCTCACTACAGGAAAGACATTGAGGCCCCGGAGCGCATCCAGAGAAGGGCAACGAAACTGGTGAGGGTTCTGGAGCACAAATCTTATGAGGAGCGGCTGAGGGAGCTGGGATTGTTTGGTCTGGAGAAGAGGAGGCTCAGGGGAGACCTCACTGCACTCTACAACTTCCTGAACAGAGGTTGTGGTAAAGAGGGGTTTGGCCTCTTCTGCCAGCAAGGAACAGGACCCAGGGAAATGGCAGCAAGTTATATCACAGGAGGTTTAGGTTAGACATGAGGAAAAACTTTTTCTCTCAGAGAGCGGTCAGGCACTGGAATGGCCTGCCCAGAGAGGTCATGGAGTTGCTGTCCCTGGCAGTGTTGAAGAGGTGTCTGGATGAGGAGCTACGAGATATGGTTTAGTAGCTGGTAGAAGCAATGGTAATGGGAAGGCGGTTGGACTAGATGATCTTATAGGTCGTTTCCAGCAGTGTGATTCTATGATTCTATGATTCTATACAGACAAGAGCCAGTGAGTTACACAGCAATTTATCTCTATAGAGCAGTGTTTCTGGACATTCAGATTTCCTTTTACAGTAGCTTTGGCTGTATGTAGACTAATAGATGCATCCTTCCTGAAGAAGGTAGGACCTGTCTGGCCCCCAAGACAGGTGTGGTTCGGCTCTTATCTGCTCAGGGTTAACCCGCACTCTGGGGTGGACTTTCCAAATCCACATAGAAGCTGATCTTGTTCTTCCATGCTTTCCATATGTTGGCTCTGTGAGTGTATTCACAACCCTGCTTAGTTTTTGCATCTAAGTTGGTTGTAATAATACAAGAGACAGCATAACCTATTGCAATGGTGTTTATGCAATGGGCAACTGACATTGTGTCTTCTGCAGTATGATATGATAAAGGTTGAGGGCTTACGAGGACAAGGACTTTCAAGTTAGCTTTGATGAACTGCAACAGTAAAGAAATCCAAGATTCTCAGTCTTCTTTTCCCCAGGCTAAG